GCCTCTTCTCTTCCCTCTCTATTCTCTTCATTGGCCCCAGATATCCAGATGGTGAGCGCCTCATGGGACCACTACACCTGGGCGGGTTCCAGCCGCTCCACATCACGCCCCAGTCACCATCTTGCCACAAAGTGTGTACCTTTTCAGGTCCGCAGCCAAATCAAATCAATACCACCCTAGGTACTGGCAAGACTGTGTCAGCCTCCTCCCCCACCACTCCACTGGGCATCACTGTAACCTTCCAATCCAGAACAGCCCTCTCCAGCCGTCCATCCCCTATACGTGTTGTCAGTCAGGCAGTACCCGAGTGCCCAGAGTGCTGAAGTCAGAAGACTAGAGTTCAAATCAGCCTCAGCCAATTCCTAGCTGTGTGACCCTGGGCAGATCAAGTAACCGCTGTCTGCCTCAGTTTCCACAGCTGTCAAAAGGGGATAATAATAGCACCTACTTCCCAGGGTTGTTATGAGGATGAATAAGATACTCTATGTAAAGTGTTTAGCTCAGTGGGGGCACAGAGTAGGTGCTATATAAATGTGAGCTATTGTTGTTATAATATAAGCTTCCTGAGGACAGGAACCATCCTTTTCTGTTTGTGTCCCCAGCACTCAGTCAATAGCCAACAAGCATTTCTTAATTGCTCACTCTGGTGCCAGTGGGCAGTGAGGTGTCACGCTGGCTCTTCCATTCTCCCACGATCTGCCCAGGCTCAGAATCTTGCACTCACCTTTGACTCTTTTCCCTGCATTACCCTATATGTTTAATCAGTTTCTAAAACCTGTCAGGGCCAACACCTCTCCTTATCTCTCCCATCTTCTCCTCCTCTTGACAATACATTAATGTAGTCCCATTACCTTTCACCTGGGCAGCTTCAAGAGCCTTTGAATTGAGCTTTCCCCATAGCTACCTTGCTCAGTGACCTTCAACAACTCTACCCTACATGGGAAAAATATCCTTCTCAGCCTCACACTGAAGGGCCCACCCCCAATCTGGCTCCAACCTCTTTTCCCAGCTTTATTTCACCTTTTTTTCCTTCATGCACAGGTAGACTGGAGCCAGTCTGGACAGTTAGCAGTTCTTACATCTCATCCCATTTCCATGTGTTCCTCCAAGCCTAGAACAGATTCCTTCTGCATCTCCACCTATATACATTTTTCTACAAGGTAAAACTTGGGGACTGTCTCCTTCCTCCATGAAACCTTCCCAGGGTTCCCCAGCTAGAAATACCTCCTCCAGCCCCAATCTTGCCCCCCTCATAAATGAGGGGGTCAGAGTAATTGACCTCTGAGGTTCCTTCTCGTCCTAAAACAATGAGCCTAAGATTCTATGACTTTTCCTGGACGTGTCTAACATTGTAACTTGTGGAGTGTAAATCTACGGACTTCATTTATCCTCCTCGCAAACTGGAAGCTCCCCAAGGGCAAAGACTATGTGACATTTTAAATCTGCACCCTCCCCATGGCTGATCATGGAACACTGACTATAGCTGATGCTTCAACAATATTTGTTGAACTGAATTATTTATTGGATGGTCCCTGACCTCAGAAAGCTTACAGTCATATAAGAAGTTAAGAAAAAACAACACAAGAGGCATCATAGGAAAATAGATTCTAAAAGACTTGAATGGGAGAAGGTGACTCTGAGCTTAGTATCCCGGCATGCCAGGACGTCTTCAGATACTCTCAACCACCCATAAGCCACCTGCCCCATGCATATCACACCCACCAACCCAGGGAAAGTCAAACGCTGCGGGTCAGAGGAGGGGAGGGTGAGGTGGTGGGGATACTTCTGCCCCACGGGGAACAGCCAATATTTGGCAGCCCTTCACTATGAGTGAAGACAACAGTGGACAGCCCACAATGGAGCCTCTGACTCAGCTGAACAGCTGGCCACACTCCCAGAGTGCAATGGGCTGGCTGGGGAGGTAGGGGCACCCTCACTGGCATGGGCACTGGCAAACGTGGGATGACCATGTGAGAGAGACGTCTTGTCACTGCTTCTGAGATTTTATAATTTTTCTGTAGTTACAGAAAAACACATTGTTTCACATCTGGACAGGGAATCTCAAAAAACCATCTGTTTCTCTGGTTGATGAAGGATTGATTTCTGTGAATAACATAAAAGTGGGGAAAGGGCTTTTGGAGGCCACTAAGGCCAAGCCTTCATGTTAGAGAGTGGAGAACAATGAACAACAAGAAAACAATCAGAACTACATGATTTAGGAGCCCAACAGGCGTAATACGCAGGTCTGTGGACCAGGCCCAGAGAGAAACAAAGGACCTCAGAGCTAGAAGGGGCCTCCCAGGCCACCTGGCCCAACCCGCTCCCTATACAAGTGACAAAATGAAAGTCAGAATTTGAACTCAAGTCATCTGATTCCAGAGGCTGAGCTGTTTCCACCAGATGTCATAGTATTTGGAGAACTCAGCTTGGAGTCAGAAAGAGCCAGGAGAATGATGTACATGAGGTCTTCAATAACATAAACAAACAAAAAACTCTGGATAGCAGCAGAACTCACAGCAATTACAATGACTAGAAGATATATGATGAAATATACTTCTCTCGTCTTGGAAGAGAAGTGGTGGACTACAGGTGCAGAACGCTGCATACACTGTTGGAAATGGTCACTGTGTTAGTTGATTCTATTTATATGTCTTTGTTGTTGTTGTTGTTAAGAGGGGCAACTTCCACAGGGAAAATGATTCTGATGTCAAACCAAAGGCCTCAGTAAAAAACTTCCTTCAAGTTTTTTTTTTCAAGTGAAGTGACTTTCTCAATTCAGACTCAATTCCCCTAAAGGGGAATACCTTTATTCCACCATAGGGGTTCCTGGTACTCACCCACGGTTTTGTTAAGGGTGTCCAATGTCAACCTCCATGGATAGAGGATGTTTGGGAAGATAACACCACATATAAGAGGGGACTGGTGGGTACATTTTGTACCCTGGATAGAGGACTCTCCATGAGATGAACATGGGTCCACGGAAGCATTGAAAAAAGGATTCCTCTCGTTGCTAATGAAGGAGAAACCTACCTTTTCCCAAGTGGCCCAGCCAGGGCCACACTTGGAATTCCTTGTTTCCTCTGCCCACTCGAGCCCCCCACAACCCTCAGAGCAACACCAGGGCTGCTGTTTCCATTGTTGAATGAACTGTACATCAGAAAGGTATGACTATTTTGATGGTCTGGGCAGAAAAAAGAGCCATCATGCAGCAAGGCCCTGAAGAGAGATAAAGAGACTGGGCGCCTGCCTGGGGTAAATAGAGACATAGAAAATGAGCCCTGGGCCACATCTGGAAAAGGAACTATGGAGTCTGAATGCAGCTCGAAGCATACTAGTTTCTCTCTTTTTTTGTTTTTTTTTCTCATGGTTTTTCCCTTTTGTTCGTATTCTTCTTTCACAACATGACTAATGTGAGCATACGTGTATAGCCTCTGTCAGATTGCTTTCCATCTTGGGGAGGAGGGTGGGGGGAAGTTTAGAACTCAAAATCTTATAAAAGTAAATGTTGAAAGATAAAAATAAATTTAAAAAAGAAAGCAAGCGAAAGAGCCCCAGCCTCTGGAAGGAGGCTCCAGAGGTTTATGGGGCTCCTCTACGCAGTGCCAATGCAATGTGACCCAACTGGTTGGGGAAGTGGCTGAGTCTGGGCAGGGAGGAAGGAAAGCCTGGCTGATAGTGAGGGCAAGCTGCCTTTTTTTTCCTCCTGCAGTCTCTCCTTCAAAGTCGTCCTTACTGAAAGTTAACTTGTATTTCAGGAAAAAAATCATGTGAATGCAGTGATTGAGCAATTCAAAGAGAAGGGATGGCTTCAGGTTCTACAAGAGGCAGTGAGGATGCTGGCTCCCACCTAGAGAATGTCTGCATCCTCTGGGCTTCTGGTGGCCCCCTTTTTAAGGCATTCTAGGGAAATGGGTCCAATTGTGTGTGGACATTGAGGCTCCCCAAACCAGGACATCAAATAGTCCCAACACTCAGGTGGAAGATGAAGAACTGAAGCAAGCCTCCAGATGACATGACACCACTGTGTAAAATATCTAAATGTTGGTGAAAGTCCAGATGACTCCTTCTCCCGCTTTCCCCTGGACTTCTGATGTTGAGAAGAAACACCCTGGAATCTCTAGTTGGTAGAGACAGAATGATTCTCAACCACATTTAGGTGGCAAAGCTTAGGATGAGAGGGACCACTGATCAGCAGATGCACACATCTGATCCAACCCTCATTTAACAGATGGGAAACTGAGGTCCAGAGAGAGGTGAAATGATTCCAAGGTCACATGGGCAGTAAGTGGCGTAAGACCTTAGTATGTTAAGGTCCATGGACCCCTGTGGATAAACTTCAGGGGTCTATAAGCTTAGAGAGGAGGGATCATCTTTTAATTCTCATTCACCTCTAACCTAAATTTAGCACTTCTTTCCATTGTGAATAGAGGCACCAACCATCATTCTAAGAAGGGCTCCCTAAGTTTCACTGAAATACAAAATGGGTCCATGATACACAAGAAAGGGATAAGGACCCTGTGTATCTCCTTCAATATCCTCCTATGTATCCAATGTATAAATAACCCTGGTCTCCTTCAATATCCCTTCTCTTGACAGAGAAGGAAACTAAGGCCCAGAGAGGTAAATTTACATAGGCAATAACTGGCCAAGATAAGACTGGAACCCAGGCGCTCTGGCTTCAGAGCCAGCCTCTCTCCATTCTATCCCACCCCCGGCATAAACAGACAAGCAGAGCTGACTTCACCAGCTTACACAGGTAGGAGCTTGGTTCCTAAACTCATTTCCCGTTTTTCTTTAGTTGAGTAACACCATCAAGAGGTCAATTAATTTCCTGTTGTAAAAAGGAACAAGATGGATAAAAATACGAAGGAGGATTTTTGTCAAATCTGACACAAATTTCCAAAGTAAAAGAAGTGAGAGAAGACCATCGAAAGGAGAAATAGCCACCCCCGGGGGACTGACGGAGCGGCAGGGAAAGCGGGAAGGCTGTGAGATCTTACCTCGGAATAGAGGATGCCCATGGTGCTGACTTCGGCGCCGCCCGGAGAGCCCCCGCTTGCTTCAACTCTCCTCCAAGTGTCCTTAGGCTGGCTCCGTTTTCTTCCAATTCACATAAAAATCCTCCGGCAGAGGTCGCGCCCAGGAAGCCCGAACGAAGATCTCTCAGGGCACCAGACCCGAGCTTCAGTCACCCAGTGGCCGGAGCGCTTTCCCAGTCCTTGTGCACAGACCGAGCCCCACGTCCTTCACCGCCCAGCCCAGCGAAGGAAAACCCAGTGGTAGCTCACCACTGAGCAGACAAGCCCTTCCAGGTCCTGCCCAGAGAAGTCTGTTTCTGAGTCATCGTCAGCAGCAGGGATGGCTGCCTGCCTGAAGCCAAACACATTTGGTGGGGAAAGAAAAGTCTTCACAGGGACGGAGCTATGGGATAAAAGACGCCAGGGGGCCACAGCTGAATTGGGACCCCGGGAAATGTAGGAGTTGGGATTACTAGAATCTGCCATGGCCCCCTAGTGCCTTGGAACGAAATGATAACGTGGATAAAATGCAATGATAGTAAAATGCTTTGCAAATCTTAAAATGCTACAGAGATGCCAGCTAGTGTTGTAATTGTTACATGTATATGTATATGTATATGCATATGTATATGTATATGTATATGCATATGTATATGTATATGTATATAAACTGTGGACTGGCATAACACACTCTATCTCCAGCCTAGCTTTCTACTGAGATCACATTAATCGCATTAATATTTTACATGCAGCCCTTCTCAGGTACCTCCAGGTTCCTGTTACCTGTTGCCTCATTTATTTATTTTTATTTCACTCTACTCCCCATCTGAAATATTCTATGCAGACTAAGTCAGCCAGTGCATGAATTCCCAGCACAGAGCTTTAATTAAAATGGCACGGGCAGATGTCTATGGGAATAAAATTAGAAGAACAATAAAACAACTTCGTGTGAGAGATTATAACGACCAACCTTGGTTCCCGAGAAGAAGGAAGGAAATGATCCTCCCTTCTTTCATTGGAAAGGTGGGGGGCTCTGGGTTTGGAGTGTTGCATATACAGTAAGACAGTCACTAGATTGGTTTTGCTGAACCGTTTTTCTTTGTCATAAGGGAAGACTCTCTGTTGCAAGGTTGAGAATTATAAGAAGCATTAAAAATGTAACATTAAAATACATCAATAAAACTTTTAAATTAGTTCATTAAACTAAGACAGCAGGGTAATAATGGGACACTGAGTCAGGTATTACAAGCTTTTTAGCACCTTTTCACAGATGACTGTTACCACCTACATCGGTCTCCTGGCAGGGGCCGATCTCATCTTCCCATTCTTTCTCTAAGAAGCTTGTAAAAAGTAACTCCTGGCACAGGGGGTTGGGGAAACTCTCTGCAGTCCTTATGACGGGTGTTTTCAGCATGGGAACCAAAGGTTAAAGAGCACTGACCATCTTCTAATAAAAAGACTGGGCTCCTTGGCCTGGGTCCCAGAGCATCATGAGAACTCTACGCTGTGACTTCTTCACCCTCCTGGTCCAAGCCTGCACGAGATACTCAGACACATCTGCCATTTTCTTTTTCTTTCTCTCCAGCTAGATAGAACTCATCCCTCTCTAACCATGGCTCTTGCCTACTAACGACTTTCCCCAGTGCTTTTTCAAAACCTTCTGCCCTTGGAAGCTTCTCATATGGCAGTTTCATACATAGCCTCCTGAGGGCTATGCCCCCAAAATGAGCACAGTTTCTGGTCTTCTTTATACCCTCACAATTCATCCCAGCCAAACTGCACATTGAAAGCTTTGCAAGCGTCTGCCTGATCTCACCCTGTTCTCTCCTGCTTTAGAGCAATCAAGTGCACTCCCCTGGCCACTGAATGCCTGGAAGGCACATTTGCTTTGCGTTTGCCTGGTAAAATCTGTTTCTTCCTTCAAAGATTAGTTAGTTAGCTTATGTTCACCCTCCTCCAAGAAGCCTTCCGTGATCCCCAACTGAAAAGATTTTCTTCCTCCTCACATTTCTCCAGGTTCTGTCTGAATCTTTTCTTTAACCCCAATACATGCTGCATTGTATTTTACTCATCTATGAATATGTCCTGTCTGCCCACCTCCACCACCCCACTACCCCAGTAGATTACTAGCTTTTGGAAGAAAAAAAGAGAAAAAGACATATTTATACAAAAAATATTTATAGCAGCTCTTTTTGTGGTAGCTAAGAATTGGAAGGGATGCCCATCAATTGGGTAATGGCTAAAAAAGCTGTGAAATATGATTGTAATATAATATTATTGTGCCATAAGAAATCACAAGCAGGATGATTTCAGAAAAACCTGGAAAGACTTACATGAAACTGATGCATAGTGAAGTGAACAGAACTAGGAGGACGTTGTATACAGTAACAGTAACATTGTTTGATGAAGAATTGTGAATGACTTAGCTATTCTCAGCAATGCAATGATTCAAGACAATTCCAAAGGACTAATGATAAAGCATACTATCCACCTTCAGAGAAAGAACTGATATTGATTAAATACAGACTGAAGCGTGTTATTTTTAACTTTTTTTATTCAAGTCTTTTTATACAAAATTACTAATATGGAAATGTTTTTAATAATTGCACATGTATAACCTATATCTGATTGCTTACCATCTCAGGGAGGGGGAGGGAAGGGAGGGAGGGAGGGATAGAATTTGCAAATCAAAACTTTAAATATAAATGTTTTTTTAAAAAATTTTAAAATAAGTACTTGGAAGTCAAGGGCTATGTTTATTCATCTTTGCATCTCCCCCAAGCACCTACCACAGTGCCTGGTACAGAGTAAATATTCATTGAATGTTAGTTGGGTGAAGGAATATATGAATGAATGAATGAATGAATGAATGAATGAATGAATGAACGAAAACGCATGAGTCAATTTTCCCTTCTGTAAGATAAGAAAGCCAATCCATCAATACACACTTATTAAGAACATTCATTGTGTGCCAGGCACTGTGCTAAAGCCCTAGGGATACAAAGAAAGGCAAAAGACAATCCTTGCCCTCAAGGAGCTTACAGTCTAATGGGGGAGACAAGTTGCAAACAAATATATGCAAAGCAAACTATATATGGGACTAATAGGAGATAACTACAAGAAGGAAGGCACTGGAATGAAGGGGAATCGGAGAAAGCTTCCTCTAGAAAGTGGAATTTTAATTGGGTCTTAAAGCTGGGGAGGCAGTAGGTGGAGATGAGGAGGAAAAGCATCCCGGACATGGGAGACTAGAAACCAGGTCCCCCCTGAGTTCTGTCTGGGACTATTTCCTCTCCCACCACCACCTCACCCGCACCCCCACCCCCACCCCCATACAACCTGCAGACAATGACTGACCCTCCTGGGCTAGAGAATTCAAATCAGGAAACTACAAAGTATTTAGAGAATGGAGTTTGAGCGTTAAGTTCTCGAAAGGGACTGAGGATTTTACCTGGACATGACTCCTCAGGTAGAAGCAATTCGGTTTTTGATTTGTTTTGCCTGAAGGAAAGGCAACGTGATAGATAATGTGTTAGAGGTTTTGCCTCAAGTTCCAGCTATCAAGCTATCAAGACTAAATAAATAGTTCAAACAAGGAAGTCAGAGTGGAGAAAAGAATCCGAGTTCTGAGGCAGTGCTGCTTAGGGGAGAGCCTACTGGACTTGAAATGAGAAGGACGGGGTTCAAATCCTGCCTCTAACCCTCAGCAGCTGTGTGACACTGGGCAAGCCATTTGTTTAAAATGGGGATAAATAGTACCTGTGGTACCTACCGCGTTCAGCGGCATGCTGCTAAACGTTCTCTGGAGAGAAGAGGTACAGGGCTACAGGCATTTTAAGTTTGTTCGCACTTTCTCCTTCACTTTCTTAAGTGTAAACTATCCACAAAATGATCACTCAGTCCCTGGTTTGGGGCATTTGTTCGTTTCTGAGGTGCAAGTGCAAATTCTATCGGCTTCAGGAGCGCGCTTGGGCACTGCGACCTTGCGCTCTGCCGCAGGGATTTTGGCCTCATAGGTGAGCTTCCCCCTAATCTTGCCCAGTACAGGCCTCCATGTTATTTCCTCACCATTTGTAAGGCGCGCAGCTACACGTTAGCCCTGTCGCTTACCCCCTGCCCTCTTTCCAGCTCTTGCTTTTATATGTAGCTTCCAGCATTAGAGTGTGAGCTCTTGAGCCTACAGGGACAGGACTGACTGGCTTGCCTGAATTTAGGTCTTTTTTTTTTTTCCTTTTGTTTGTATTTGTAGTCTCAACCCTCAGCACAATGCCTGGAATTAATATATTGCGACTAAATGTTGGCTCTATCTATCCAATCTATCTATCTATATATCTGTCTATCTATACAATCTATCTATCTGTCTGTATATCTATCCATTTACCTATTTATCTATCTAATCTGTCTATTGTAGACCCCTCTCCAAACCATTGTGAACACCAAGACCTGAGAAAGGCCTAAAACCTGGATTGGCCAATCAGGATAGACATTTCAGCCCACTCTGGACTTAATCTACCATAATGCTTTGCACTGTGTTGCTCTCTGAGCGAACCCAAAATGCCCCTTCTTGTGTCAGCAATTACAGGACTGGATGAGACTGACCAAGAGCATTCTTCTGTATATGACCACTAAGAAGCCTTGACCCAGACACTACCTTAAATAGCGGGACTTATCTTAATCTTTTATGGACATACACTGTATTATGTTAATGGTAAAAGAAGCACAGGCATACTGGATCTATAATGTCAATCGACTCTTATCTTGTTGTATTTACAGTCTATTCACTTAAGAAATTCCTCTCTCATATCATGGTTAAACATTTGGCGACCATCATTTTGGCTGACATAGGCATCCTGAGCCAGGGAGGGAGAGAGGGGTGAGAGGGAATTGCTCTGAACATATGAAAATCCTCTTTGTCTATTTTTGGGTTCATTGTCTCACAATGAGCTCCCATGCATATCTCTATATGTATGTTTTGCAAGCTTTGAGAGAAATAAACACGCATATTCATCCTAATTTTGTTTGTCTTTCTAAGAATGAACTTAGTAATGGTTGATACTATTTATCATCTATCTATCTGAATTGCTAATTAATTTATGAAATTATGAGATGGGGGGCAGGTATGCCTGGTTCTTCAAGGACTCTCCGGGAAAGACCATGATGGCAATAGGGAGTGAGGCTGTAATCACACAAAGGCACAGAGGATGCAGGGGTGAACAGGAACAGAGAGTACAGGGAGATAAGGTGTGTGTGTGTGTGTTGGAGTGAGGCAAGATGGAATGGGATGAAGGATAGGATGGCAGGCAGTGATGGGGAAGGGGGAGAGGCACAGAGTTTCACTCACATGACAAGGATCAGAGTTGAGGGCGAGAGGCAGCATAG